GGAGATTTTGACTTCCTGTATTATAGCCTTCATCTTAACAGATCTGTTTGATTCTTTTTTAAAGTATGTATTTCCTCTTTTAGATTTTGCAAGAATTTCCTCATCTCCTGGAACTCATCAGCCCCTTTCTCCTGCCCCTTCCACAGTTCATTGTCTCTCATCTCTTCCATCTCTGTTAGCTTCATCATTATGTATATTCTAAATTCTTTATCAAACATTTCCATTGAACTCTCTGTGGATGAAGAGGAGGAAAGGTATTTTCTTGCTTTCCCATATTTCTTGTGACCCTGCGGTGATTTCTAGTCATCTGATAGATGGTGTGTTTCTTCCTAATTCTCGAAGTTCAATCTGAGCATTCAGGAGCGAGCAGAAGGAGGTGATCTGGAATCTCTTTGCCGTTCCATTGTTATCCCTTTATGCAGCAGATTTAGTGGATATTGAAGAATTTGTTAACCTTAATTGTATTTGGATGTTTGGCTATGGTTCCCTTAGATCCGTCTAAAAACACAGACAATGGAGATTGAGGAGCAGAGTGATGAGATAAAAGAAAAAGAAAACAAAACAAAGGCGGGGGGGGGGGAGAGAAACAGAGAAAAGGAGGAAAAAAATAAAAACAAAAAAATTTTTTAAAAAGCAAAAAATTAAAAATTGCACAGTGTGCATGAACTCACTAGTTCTCGGGAGCCATGGAGGAGTCTTCTTCTGAAGGCCTACCCCTGCTGGCCTCTTCTGGATGGGAGGGGGAAAGGAGATTATTAGCAAGATAAAGGAGGGGCTGAAAGCCAAGAGAATACTTTACCTTAAAAAATTTTTAAAGGAAAAATTACATTAAAAAAAGACAGAGACAGAGGCAGCGAGAAACCGAGTCAGAGACAGAGAGAAGGCTAGAGGGGCTTTCTGCCACTCGGGTTTGTGGGCTGGAGGCTGAATTATCGGTAGATAATCTTTATTTTTCTTTTTTCCCTGAACCCGCTTCCGCCGGCCCAGCAGGGCCCCGGGGGATATCATAGTGTTTTAATTGTTAAAGTGCTTAGTGTGTTTTTAATAAGTCTTGGGATGTTCCCATCTTGTTGCTCTTGCTTTCCAGTATTTTTATTATACATGGTAGCTTATTTTTCCACATAGATTTTTTTAAATCAATGTGTCTTATTCTAGGGAAAATAAAATGCTAGGATGTTTGTTTTGTTTTGTTTTCCCTCTTCTTTAAATGAAAAAAAATTTAAGAATTATTTATTTATTATCATTATTTTCCAATTTTGACCAGAGAGAGACAGAGACAGAGAGAAAGCAAGCCGCCAGGTTCAAGACTTGAACCACAGTCGGCCATGTGGGAGTCTAGTGTCCTTAATCAGTACACCACCTGCCTCCCCCCCCCAAATACTTGTGATATTTGTAAAATTGTTATGAAAAATACCGAACTCTGTTGTTTAATCTGGTTCTCATGAGTTCCCTTGTATTGTATGTGAAGGATGAAAAATTGTTCTTTTACCTTAGGGGAGAGATTCTTTCTTGGCTTCTCATATTTTTTGTGCCTCTGGGGTGGTTTCTGGTCATCTGATGGATTTTACTTTTTTCTAATTTTTGAAGTTAAATCTGAGAGCTCAGAAGCATGCAGCAGGAAGTGCAATCTCTCAGCAGTAATGTTTTTCTCCCTTTGTGCTGCAGATTCTAGGGAGTATGAGGATTACTCTGACCTTGGCTTGATCTAGGAAGCAGGAGGGCAGAAAACTTTCAGTTGTCCTAGTTCCTGAAAGGGGGCGCTTCAAACTCAAGTGTAATTTGCTGGTGATTGGCTTGTCCTGGCTTGATCTGGCTCCAGGAGGGTGAAGTCTGGGCAGAAAACCTTCAGTTCTCCTAGTCCCTCTAGGGTGTTTGTTTTTGATGGGAGAGGATTACATTATTTCTCCCCCACCTTTTGTTTGCACAACATGCATTTATTGGTTTTTACAGCAAGATTGAATTTCTGAGGGGCATTAAATAATCAGTCATTAGACTGGCATACTATTTTTATAAAATACTAATTTTCTAGTTGTGGAGGAGAATAAATTACTTTCTCCCTCTCCTTGTTAGATAGAATTTTCCACTGAGATGCAGAACCACAGAATATTGATAAAAATACAGACCAACTTGGGGGTTGGCAGGTGGCGTGGTGGCTAAAGCACTTTACTCCCACATGGCCAATCATGGTTCAAGTCCTGGACCTGGTGACTTGCTTTCTCACTTCCCATTTCTGTCTCTCTCTCTCTCTCTGGTTAAATTTTTTAAATAATCATGATAATAATAAAATTAAATAAATGAACAAATCTTTTTTGAGAGTATTTTATCAATTTATTATTATTTTTTTCCCATGAGTTTTGCCAGAGAAAGACAGAGAGCGAGGGGAAAGTGAAAAAGCAAGCCACCAGGTCCAGGACTCAAACCATAGTTGACCATATGGGAATTCCATTGCCTTAACCACCACGCCACCTGCTGGCCCCATAAATCTTTTAAAATAAATAAAATTATGAAAATCTTTAAAAATACAAGCCAGCTTACACGTCACCTCTTATGTTTCTTAAATCTCCTGGGGAGAAACCAGTTAGTGGTGTTTCCTCTGAGAGTTGTTTCACACAAAGCAGGGCAGCACTTCCTCTAGGAGTCTCAGAATGTTGCAGCACAGTTGGGGGTCATATCTTAACCTTGAGTTTGTTCTGGTAAAACATCTCCCAGTTCTTCCATATTATAGAATTGGCTTGCTATTGTTGCCCTAATGAATAAGAGATGAGCAGTCTGATCTCATGAAGACTGACCTGGATTTAAGCAGTCAGCTACTCAAGTTCATCAGCAGTAGCTGTATATTTATGACCAGAACACCCCAAACAAAAATATCTATCCTATCCTTTTAGAATATGTATTTAAAAACCAGCTGTAGAATTACATTTAAAATATAGTATTGATCCTTCAAATCACTGAGTGGGATTATCAAGCCACTGAATTTGGAACTTGAACTGTGGTAGGCCATGTGGGAGTCCAGTGACATAACCACTACACCACTTGCTGGTCTTTTTTTGTGCATTTTTAAAAAATCTGTGAAGTGGGGGCCAGCAGGTAGCATGGTGATTAAGGCACTGGACTCCCACGTGGCTGACTGCAATTTGCGTTCCAGACCTGGTGGCTTGAAAAAAATGCTGGGTTCATTTGCATGTATGCCCAAAATCCTAGGAGGAGAATGGAGAAGGGATTGTGGCATGGCCATCCTCCCTAGGGTGGGTGATTTCTCATTTTTCCTCCTACTGTCTTTCTCTCTCTCTGGTGAGCACAGGCACCTTCTGGCAAAAACCTAACAACAACAACAAAAAATCCATGAAAGGGACTGGTGGATGGCATAATGGTTATATTGCTGTTCTCTCACATAGTTGATTCTGGTTTGAGTCCTGGACCTACCAGCTTAAAAACACACTGGGTAGGGCAGCAGGTGGCGTGGTGGTTAAGGGCGCTGGACTCCCATATGGTTGACTGCAGTTTAAGTCCCAGACCTGGCAGCTTGCTTTCTCACTTTCTGTCTCTCTCTCACTATGTCTCTTTCTGGTCATATTAAAATAAAATAAATAGGGCTCCACAGTTAGCGTAATGGCTATGTCACTGAACTCCCATGTAGTCGACTATGGTTCAAGTCCTGGACCCGGTGGCTTAAACTCATGCCGGGTATGTGTGCGTGCGTGCCCAAGATCCTGAGAGGAGAATGGAGGAGAAGGGATTGTGGCGTGGCCATCCCCCCGGGGGGTGATTTCTCGCTTTCTGTCTCTCTGTCTCTGTCTCTCTCTCTCTCTCTCTCTCTGGTGAGCACATGCACCCTATAGCAAAAACCTCTCCAAAAATTAAAAAATAATAAACAAATAAATAAATAAAGTTAAATAAAAATATTTTTTTAAAAAACAAAAAACTCCCACCTGGCATGTGTGCGTGCATGCCCAAAATCCCAAGAGGAGAATGGAAGAGAAGGGATTGTGGCATGATCATCCTCTCTGGGGGTGCAGTTTTCTGCTTTCTGTCTCTCTCTTTCTCTCTGACGAGCACACGTGCCCTATAGCAAAAAAACCCTCTGAAACAAAATAAAATCCACGAAGTAGCTTCAGCAATGCTAAACTACCTTTTGAGTTATTCCCTGAAATATCAGGTATTATATTTGTTAGTGCTCTGCTAATAGAATTGCATAGAGGTGGGGTCAGCAGGTAGTATAGTGGTTAAGGCAATGGACTCCCACATGACTGACTGCAGTTAGAGTTCCAGACCTGGTGATTTGAAAATCACACCAGGCATTTGTGTGTCTGCGTGTGTGCCCACAATGCATAGAGGAGATGGAGGATGGGACAGTGGCATGGCCATGCCCTGGGAGATGATTTCTCATTTTCTTTTTCTCTCGCTGGCAAGCGCATGTGCCTGTTGACAAAACAAAGCAAACAAATAAACAAAAGAATTGCATAGAGTTGTGTAGTCTTCTCTAGCCCTATTTTTTCTTTAAATTAAGTTTATAGAGAATAAGGGCTTTTTTTGTCTATGGCCATACCACCCTGAATGTGCCTGATCTCATCTGATCTTGGAAGCTAAGCAGAGTTGAGCCTGGTTAGTATATAGATGGAAGAATAAAGATTGTTTTGTTTTTTTTTTTTAGGTATACATATGTGGTACTGTAATAGAAATGCCTGTGTTTGAGAGCGATTGGATCTATTCACTTATAATCATTATTTTAATTGCCTTTTAAAAAGTTATTTATTTAACTTTATTGTATTTATGTTTTAGGTTAGCTATAGGGCAAATGTGCTTACCAGAGAAAGAGAGAGAAAGTGAGAAAGCAAGCCACCAGGTCTGGGACTTGAACTGTGATTGGCCACATGGGAGTCCACTGCCTTAGCCACTGCACCATCTGCTGGTCCATATTTTAGTTGCCTTTTATTTCTCTATAAAAGTTTTCTTTCTTTTGGCAAAGGAAAATGGCATGTTTTCTTTCTTGTTTCTTTCAGATTTGGAATCCAAATACAAGATCAATACTTTATCTCCAGAAAAGGACATTTATGAAATATGTTCATTCCAGTGGGAGATAATGGAAAGATTTAAAAATTGTGGTCTTCATGGCTCCATTTTTAGAAATGATTGGGAATGCAAAAGCAAGATGGAGGGGCAAAAGGAACCACAAGATGGATATTTTGGGCAAGTGAAAATTACTTCTGAAAAAATAACCACTTACAAAAAGCACAATTTTCTTTCTGAATATCAGAGAATTCATAATGGAGAAAAGATATATGAATGTAAGGAATGTAGGAAGACATTTATTCGTCGCTCAACACTTAGTCAACACCTGAGAATTCATACTGGTGAAAAACCATATAAATGTAAGGTATGTGGGCAGGCCTTTAGACAGCGTGCACACCTTATTCGACATCACAAACTCCATACTGGTGAGAAGCCATATGCATGTAAGGAATGTGGAAAAGCCTTTACAGTGCTCCAAGAACTTACTCAACATCAGAGACTTCATACTGGTGAAAAACCCTATGAATGTAAGGAATGTGGAAAGGCCTTTAGAGTACATCAGCAACTGGCTCGACATCAAAGAATTCACACTGGTGAGAAACCCTATGAATGTAAAGAATGTGGGAAGACTTTCAGACAGTGTACACACCTTACTCGACATCAGAGACTTCATACTGCTGAAAAGCTCTATGAATGTAAAGAATGTGGGAAAGCCTTTGTATGTGGTCCAGATCTTAGAGTACATCAAAAAATTCATTTTGGTGAGAAACCCTATGAATGTAAGGAATGTGGGAAGGCTTTTAGAATATGTCAACAACTTACTGTCCATCAGAGTATTCATACTGGTGAGAAACCCTTTGAATGTAAAGAATGTGGGAAGACTTTTAGATTAAGACAACAACTTGTTCGACATCAAAGAATTCATACTCGTGAGAAACCTTATGAATGTATGGAATGTTGGAAGACTTTTAGTAGTTACTCACAACTTATTTCACATCAGAGCATTCATATTGGTGAAAGACCCTATGAATGTGAAGAATGTGGAAAGGCCTTTAGACTACTCTCACAACTTAGTCAACATCAGAGTATTCATACTGGTGAGAAACCTTATGAATGTAAAGAATGTAGAAAACCCTTTAGACTTCTGTCACAACTTACTCAACATCAGAGTATTCATACTGGTGAAAAGCCTTATGAATGTAAGGAGTGTGGTAAGGCCTTTAGACTTTATTCATTTCTTACTCAACACCAGAGAATTCATACTGGTGAGAAACCCTACAAATGTAAGGAATGTAAGAAGGCCTTTAGACAACATTCACACCTTACCCAACATCAGAAGATTCATAATGGAATTTAGTACAAGAAAGCCTTCAAATGTACGTTTAGTATAAGAAAGCCTTCAAATGTTACAGAATATCAGAAAGTTCATTTTCAAGAAAATTTGTTTCATGCTTACAACCAAGCATGATAAATTTTATATTAGAAAAAGAATATGTTGCTTAAAAGCTGACTATCACCATTCATGTATTGTTTATCTTCAGCACATTCCAATGACAGAATAATGTATAAATATAGGAACATCTTTAGCCTTATCTATCATTATCTCCATTTCACTACTTTATTACCACTACAATATTGAAGAAGATACTAAACTTCTGTGCCTCGTTTGCTCACTTGTAAAATGGTGATAATAGTACTTACATGTATTAGTTATTTATTGTTATGTAATAAACTACAACAAACTTAGTAGCTTAAGATAATACGTATTTATTATCTCAGTCTTTAGTAGATCAAGAGTCCAGGCATGACTTAATTCAGTCTTCTGCTTCAGGGTCTCCCACAAGGCTATAATGCATATATGAGCTGGGGTCTCATCTGAAGGTTCAAATGGGAAAGGATCCACATCTAAGCTAACATGATTCTTGTCTAAATTTGTTTGCACAAGGGCCGTTACACTGAGATCCTCAATTTCAAGTTGGCTATTGGTTGAAGACTGAGGGAAGTTCTTTGCCACAATGGCTTCAAACAATGGCTGCTTGCTTTTTCAAGGTATGCAAGCTAAGAAGGCAGTAGCATCTGCTAGCAAGACAGAAGTTACAATCTTATGTAATATAATCATGGAATTAACATCCCATCACCTCTGCTATCTTCTACTGGTGAAAAGTAAATTATTAGGTAGCCCACACTGAGTAGAAGAGAATTACACAAGAATGTGAATACTAATTGACCACTGAGGGCCAATTTAGAGTCAGCTTACCACAATGTGTAGTAGGTTTGTTGTAAGGAGTGAATAGTTAATACTTGGAAGAATAGCAGTCACATAGCATGTATTCTGTAAATATTATCTATAATAGTTATCATTAGTATTAGTAAGTCCACATGAAAGATCCTATAGAAGTAATAAATGTAAAAATGCTTATTACCTCTCAGCACTTACTAAACTGAAGATCATTTATTCTGGGTAAAATCTAAGAGATTATAGTGAATATAAGGAGTTTTAATCATTGAACTTCATCAGAAATTTCATGCTGAAATGAATGTGGTTAGGAGTACAACTGTTGAAGAATCAAATATGAAATTATTTTCCTGTAATTCAAAAGAAAAACAACAAATTATTTACAATCCCTGTTCTGATCACAGTTTAAGATGAATTAGAAACCCTCAAAAAGTGACATAAAAGAAACTAATCTTGGGACCAGCAGTTGGCGTAATGGCTATGTCAGTGGACTCCCATGTAATCAATTGTGGTTCAGGTCCTAGACCCGGTGGCTTAAATTCACAGCGGGTGCATGTGTGTGTGTGCACCCAGGATCCTGAGAGGATAATGGAGGAGAAGGGATTGCAGTGGCCATCCCCCTGCAGGGGGGTGATTTCTCACTTTCTCTCTCTCTGTCTCTCTCTGTCTTTCTGGCGAGCACTTGTGTCCTATAGCAAAAACCTCTCAAAAAAAAAAAAAAAAGAAAGAAAGAAAGAAAAAGAAAAAGAAAAAGAAACTAATCTCTCAGGAATTTAATATTGTGTGTGTGTGTTTGTAACATTCCTATTGTGAATGAATGACAAACAGGCCTGGCCCTGTGGCCTAGAGGTTAAGGGAGACAAATCCCACATGGCTTCCATAGTTTGAATCCCTACCCTGGTGGTTTGCAAAACACAGTAGGAACATTTACAACCCTGTCCCAAATCCTGACAGACTGGCGAGATGGAGGAGAAGGGATTGTGGTGCAACTGCAGCCCCATTGCAGGGAGTGCTTTCTCCCTCTCCCACTTTCTGTCTCTATCTTTCTCTGGTAAGTGCACATACCCTCTGGCAATTGAGGGGAAAACAATTTTTTAAGAATGAAAACATTCTATTAGTACACTTGTTGCACAAATTGCCTCATCTTCAACCAGTGGTCATTGTTTTAAGTTAGTTCTTTTGACACAATCCACCAGTAGCTTAATAGTTTACTTAGTTATAGCTGCTCAGTTTGAAAAGTACAAGGGCACTACCTCATCATTTTTAAAAGTTGATAAATGAGGAAAATGAACATTTGTTTCTTTTCTCATGAACCAAATTTTAGGATCACCATGCTTATCAAATTTAAGTGTATTAGAAGGTCAATCAGTAAATATAGAAAGAATTACAGTATTTTTAAAAATCACTGTTTTCTAGACCCTGATCGAATAAAAGGTCCAGAAAATGAATTTCAATACATACTGTAGCTATTAGGTGAAAGATGTAATAGTGAGCCTTCTACATTAGATTTTTCAAGCTGGCCCCTTCTGAGCCTTTGATCACTTTTAACCCCAATAAAAATTTGACTGCCAAACAGTATGCATCTCCTGATACAATACAATAGGAAGTACATACCACGATCAATGAGGCAGTATTGCCAAAATAATGAAAAAATTATTTTTAAATCAAATTCTTTAAAACCAAGACTTGAGGAAAGTTGAGCAAAGTAGATTGTACCACAAGGAAGCAGCCAATTAGATTCAGAACGTATAATATTCTTCAGAACAAATAACCTGATTTCTTTCTTTCTTTTTCTTTTATTTTCAGAGGTTTTTACTATAGGGTGCATGCACTCGCCAGAGACAGAGACAGAGAGACAGAAAGCGAGAAATCACCCCCTAGGGGGGATGGCTACACCGCAGTCCCTTCTCTTCCTTTCTCCTCTTGGGATCCTGGGCACGCACGCACACGCACCCAGCGTGAGTTTCAAGCCACCGGGTCCGGGACACGAACCGCAGTTGACTACATGGGAGTCCAGTGACTTAGCCATTACGCTAACTGCTGGTCCCCCAATAACCTGATTTCTTTAACTAATGAGTGGCATGGAAAAGAAAAGAGTAGAATCAACTGTTAATAGATTAAAAGAAACTTCAGAGACAAACTAAATTCAATATGTAAGCATTATTTAGACCTGTCCTAAACAGACTGTAAAAAGACATTTTGGGAGACAATGGCGGAAGCACAGACATGGATATTAGATGATATTTAGAAATACTAATGAAGACCAGCAGACGTCAAATGGTTATGTCACTGGACTCCCATGTAGTTGATCATGGTTCAAGTCCCACACCTGGGTACCTAAAACTCATGCCAGGGTGCATATGCATGCATGTCCAAGATTTCAAGAGAAGAATGGAGGAGAAGGTATTGCAGCATGGCCATCCCTCCTCCCCGCCCGCCCCCAGCCCCGAGAGGTGATTTTTCATTTTCTGTCTCTAGTAAGTACACGTGCCCTATAGCAAAAACCTCTTTTAAAAAAATAAGGCGGGTGGGGGGGGAGCAGCAGGCAGCGTGGTGGTTAAGGGTGCTGGACTCCCACTTGGCCAACCATGGTTTGAGTCCCAGAACTTGTGGCTTGCTTTCTCACTTTCTCTTTCACTCTGTCCCTCTGTGGTCAAATTTAAATAAATAAATAAAGTTAAATAAAATAATTCTTAAAAAAAGAAATAATTTGTTAGGGATGACAATGTCAATGTGGTTATTAAAAAAAAAGCTCTTAAGTGTTAAATATAAATATACACTGATGAAATGATAAGATGCACAGGTTTGCATTAAAATATTCCAGCAAGGGGCCTGCATGTGGCATGGTGGTTGAGGTACTATACTCTCACATGGCCGATTATGGTTCAGGTCCCGGGCCTGGCAGCTTGCTTTTTCCCTTTCTCTTTCTCTCTGTCTCTCTCTGGTCAAATTAAAATAATAATAATAACAAATGGAATGAAGTAAGTAATCTTTTATAAAAAATATTCCAGCAAAAGAAAAAGAATAGGCAAAGAGAGTTGGAAGCTAGATTGGCAAAATGTTGATAATTATTGGAAAGGTTGATTCATGGAGGTTCATCATTCTAATATTTCTACTTTTGTATGTGTTTGAAATTTCAATAATAAAATGTTTAAAATAAGTACTAAAATTATAGACTACTTAGAAATGAATAATAATGAGATGCTTCCTTCATATCTAAACATTGTCAAATGTCACTCAAGTTGTATTCAGTGAGAAAATAATGTCTTTTTTTTTTTTTTCATGTTTGCTATGGGTGCATGTGCTTGCCAGAGAGAGACAGAGAGAAAGTGAGAAATTGCCCCCTGCAGGGATGGTCATACTGCATTCCCTTCTTCAGTCTCCTCTCAGGTTTTGGGCATGGACACATCCATGTCGGGCATTATTTTCAAGCCATCAGGTTTGGAACTCATACTTCACATCAGCTGTGTAGAATCCGGAGCCTTAACTTCCACACCACCTGCTGGCCTGAAAGTAATATACTTTTAGCATATGGAGGAAGCTTCATTTGTGGATTCAGTCTTTATCTTCGCTTACTCACAGCAACCAACACAGGACTTGTCACACAGATAAATGTGTTGAAGGAATGAATAAGCACTTATGACAAGAAATCATAAACATAACAAAATAAAACCAACACAAGTAAAGAGAAGCTGCATGTGGTAAAAAGGGTCAATTTAGAAAACAGGCAATAGTAGTCTTGATCCAAGTTAATAATGACTAGATTTTAATACATCTAGTTAAGGAAAACAAAATGAAAAAAAAGAGTAATTCATTTAGAGCATTAGTGATGATAAAGGTGTCAGAATAATCAACATTTTATAAAATTGTAAGGTAATACTACAAATACACACACATGTTCATCTCAAAACATGTAAACATGTAAACGGATATTTTCTTCCCTATGAATATGTTATTGCAGTTGACTCCATGCTTTAGAATCCAAATAGATTTATCCAAATAGATTTACAAATGTACATGTATGTGAACCCTGTTTAAGAAAAATTAAAAACCTGATTCATGTGTAAATGAGCATTGTAAGGAATAGAGAAATCTTTAACAAGATTTTGACATGAATTCTGCACAGCTTAACTAATTCTGATTTTTAAAAAGGAAAACTAGATGAAGATAGCTCCTGAAAAAAATCTGGTTTCACTGGATTATGAAGATTCTAAATAAGGTATATTGAGAATTTATTACCAAATATGTCTTCACTAATAGATAATTGTGTTTCCTTTTCTGAGCACCAGGTAGCTCCAGAAGACTGGTATTTAATATAGTGTAAAGCTATACCCAGCATTTTCCAGAAGTTTGTTTCAGGTAATACTATTTCTTGATATTTGAAAAAAATTATTTCTTGGAGAAATGTGCAAACAAAGCAGAGCACTTAAAAATCTACTCTTTGAGAATTCTAAGTATTTATTATCAACTTGTCAAACGATGTAGTAAATAAAACTAAATGTATTTCAAACTTACTTCACTGTGTAATTCTCACTCTTAATATCTGTTAACACCTTTGGAATATGAACCATGTTGGTAGATACTCTCATAATCACAGTGAGCATCTTCAAGGATGTCATTTCAGACATGTTGAGTGGATGAGAGGAGTAGTCCAGGATACTTTGCAGCTCACATCATGCTCTGAAAGCAACTGTCCAGTCTTTTCTGTAAAATATAAAAGACTCCAACTAGGTCTTTGATATATATATATATAAAACATGTTTGGGGACAGCAAGAGGAGTAGTGGTTAAGGCACTGGACTCCCACATGGCTGAACACAATTCAAGTCCTGGGCCTGGGAGCTTGAAACTCTTGCCGTGCAAGAGCACGAGCATGTGCAAAATCCAGAGAGGAGAATGAAGGAGAAGGGATTGTGGCATGGCCATCCCCCAAGGGGTGATTTCTTACTTTCTTTCTCTGTGTCCTTGGCCAATGCATGTGACCTATAACAAAAATCTCTTTTAAAAAATAATTTACTCTATTAAAGAATAATTAGGTTGGTGGTGTGGTTGCACTGGACTTCCACATGACTGACTGTGGTTTGATTGCTTTCTCACTTTCTCTCTGGTGAGCAAATATGCCCTATAACAAATTTTAAAATAATAATAATAAATAAAATAATTGTCATTATTTTAATTTGACCAATGAGAGAGGGAAAGTGAGAAAACAAACCTTCAGATCCAAGACTAATCATGTTCGGCCATGTAGAAGTCCAGGGCACTTAACCACCATGCCACCTGCTGGCCCCTAAAATAATTTGTTAAAAAAAAAAATAGGGGCTGGCAGGTGGCATGGTGGTTAGGTGGTTAAGAACGCTGGACTCCCACGTGGCCAACTGCAGTTCAAGTCCTGGACCTCACGGCTTGCTTTCTGACTCTCTCCCTCTCTCTCTCTGCCTCTCTTTTCACATTTAAAAAGTAAAGAAATAAATGAATAAAATTAAATAACATAATTCTTTTTTTAAATAAAA